AAAAAATGGAAATATTAAATAATTATTAAGAAATAATTTTAGCTTGATCAAGAAATTTATTATTTAATTTTTTATTGATATTATTCTCTGGGATGTTTAAGTCGAACTACTTAGGTTTATTTAGTGTAGTGAGGGTTTACTCTTTTGGAGCTATAGATATTGATATAAAAGAATCACCCATACTTTCAAAGCTAATAATAAAAAAATTAAAATCACATTTATGAGGGGATAATAAACATAATAGAGAAGTCATCCAAGAAAAGTTAATGGGAACTTAAGCCAATGTTGATTTTAAAAAGAAATTAAACATTTCCTTTCCAATCTTTAATAAAATTTAAATGCATTTTGAATTCTAACTTTTTCTCTTTTCATTAATTTATCTCCATAATTTATGCTGAAAATTAAAAAAAGTTAATTGAAACATTACACCCAATCAACTAAAATTTTGAGGCTTCTTTGATGAATATTATTCGCTCTTTAAATCTTCATTTGGCCACCCACATACTACAAATTCCTTTTGCAAATCTTGGAAATCCTCTTTCCTCCCCAAGAGTTCCTTGTGGTTGAAATCTCATTGTATCATCCTGAAGCACATTTGTGGGGAGAAAGATTTTGGGTTAATTTTTTCAAAGTTTTTAAAAAAGTAATTTTTCCTTTGACTTGTATTTCTATGTTCTTTAAAAAATTTATATCACATTTGTATAAGTTTTCATGATACCTTCAAGCAAAATATTTTATTATGTTTGCTTATAATCTTAATTAATTTTAGTTTAATGTTTCATGTCAACTTGAATCATAATCTTATATTATGTTAGTTAAAAATCTTATTTCTTTTATATGTAAGTGTTTTAGGATTGTTTAAATCAAAATGTACATTACAATGGCATTATTTAAAGTTTCAATTTAGCTCGAATCGTAATTCTACACTGTTTTGCTTAAATTTTATTTCATTCTTATCTAACTCTTCCATGTTGATTTAATTTAAAATCTTTTAATGAGTTGACAAAAATTATATTTTATTTTCAATTATACCTTCATGATGTTCTAAATCATAACCAAATTTTAGGGAAACTAAGATCAAAATTTTAATTTGATTTAATATTTCAAATATTCAGAAATATTACTTAGTTGTGATTCAAACTTACATCTGACAACTAATCGTGTTGTTTGAAATCTTTCACATTATTTCGAGTCAAAATCTAAAAAAATTACATTTCTTAAGAGATGTGTCTTATTTTGATATATTTTTAACATTATTGTGAGCATCAATATAAAAAATTAATATATTTGTTTGCGAAGGTGATGGGTTTGAATAATTCCAAAGTCAGCGTAGTTAAATAGAACTAGTATAAGTTAAATATGAAGATTATGTAATTGTTAAAAGTTATAGTTTTCATTTTTTCGTCTTTTTTGTTTGGGTTTTAGTTTTTTTTTTTTTTTTTTTTTTTTTTTTTTTCATTGTAGTGTATTAGAATTAGAGCTTTCAAGGCGAAAAGAGTATAGATATTATAATCATTTTGTTAATAGTGATTTTCTAGTCTATGTGTTGGTTAGCCACAAACATAGGCTCTGGGTTAATTTTTTAGCCAAATCATATACAGTTTTTTTACGACTACTCATTCTATTATGTTTATGATTTTTGACATTTCATTGCCTGAGGGGTAATCCACACACCTACTTTCACTTTCAAACATTGTACAATTTAGTTATTAAATATTAACGATAGTCATTTTCCATTGAGTTCAAAACTTATGTATTTAGCATATGTTAGCACATCAATATCATGCACTCACTATAGAGATAAATAACATTCAAATCGAAAAGTATTTTGATAAATGTATTTTGACTAAAATAGAATTAGATGAACTTAATGCTCAGATATGTTGCACATTACAATGTGCGTTGTTTCCTAATAGTTATATAAAATTATCTATGGTAAATACTGTAAAAAAATTGGGATAAAGTAATTCACTTATGAAGATACTAGTGAGGATAAAGATGCATACTGTAATAGATTGTCAAATGTATAAAAGCTTGTTTGTATGATTCTTAATGAATCAAAATTTAAAAATGTATATTAGATTTATGAAAAAAATTAACAGATTTCGTTGTTTTAAAAGAAAAAAACCAATAATTAGTGTATTAAATGATAAGATGTCCTCCCAAAAAAAGGTATGCAAAATTAATTGCTATTAGTAAATCCAATGATTTCAACTCATATCCACTTGGCTCCTTGATAGCTCATCAATAGGTTTTAACATAAAAGAAACTTGAATGATAGAGTCCGAAAGAAAGAAAAAGAAAGAATAATAACTTTACAAGTAGAAGAGAGTATCAATGAGAGCACATTGGGTTTTGATGAAGATAGAGATGAAGTAGAAATGTTAATAAGGAGGCTTAGAAACTTGCTAAAAAAGAAGTATCAAATAAAGATTCTAAAAATTATAAATTATTACTAAAAAAATTATTTACAAGTAATAGAATCATGTGGCCCAATTACAAGAAGCTTGGAAACATGATAGTGGATTGTCCAGGCCTAGCCATTAATCCCAAAAAAAAAAAAGCAAAAAGAAAATGGCGAAAGAAAAGCCGGCTAAAGAAAACCAAAAAAAAAAAAAAAAAAAAGATAATAAGTATAGAGTTCTCCTTAAAGCCCTATCATTCAAGCTCCAATACTTCATATAAAAAGTCAATTTATGTCTTATGGCTACTATGATTCAATTTTAGTAATGACTCACAAGAGGTATGTTGTGTTAAATTACAAGCTCATCATTTTACTTCTAAAATAATGCATGCTATGAGTTATGATCATTCTACACATTCTTTACATAATCGTGTATATCATGCACGTAAATTTAGACCTTATGCTAAAACAAATAAATGGCGTAGCTTTTGTGATTACAAATGTCATATTTCATTTAGTTTTCATGTAAGAGAATCACAATTTAATACACATTTTACATTTATTTAGGTACCAAAAATGTGCTAACATAGCATACACTACTTAACATAGAGCATTTTCTTCTTATCAAGAATGTAAACACAAACATACTTAGATTCCAAGAGTAAACCATTAATTTTTCTCTTGTAGAAATGACTTCAGCATTAGTAAAGGCATATCGTACTTGGACAACAGACGTTCAAGGCATAAGCCTACCAAAAATGTGCTAACATAGCATACACTACTTAACATAGAGCATTTTCATCTTATCAAGAATGTAAACCCAAACATACTTAGATTCCAAGAGTTAAACCATTAATTTTTCGCTTGTAGAAATGACTTCAGCATTAGTAAAGGCATGTCGTACTTGGACAACAGACGTTCAAGGCATAAGCCAGGAGATGAATTCACAAGGTCACAACTAAATGAAGGTCACGTGATTTATGGATGCAATACAAAAGCAAAAATAATTAGTGTTGGATCAATCTATAAGAATTTAATGACTTCAGATTAAGATTTAAAACATAGTCTAATTTATATCAATCAATTATAAAATAAAAGATTTCATGTAGTATTTTTAGCTTATTACTATGTTATCAAGCATAATGACAATGTCTTGTAGATAATAGACATAAGAATATACATTTGACTGATTTAGAAAGTGCTAGAGATATTAGTTATTCAACGTTTTTATATTTAATTTTTTTATTTTTATATACTTATTCAGTTTAGTGATTAAATTACTAAAGGGTCATTTCTAATCATTTTCATTTTAATTATAATAATGTTTTAAAACAAAATAAAAATACGCTTGAAAACATTTTTCATATATTTTTTAGTTGAAAAAAAAAATGAAATCATGACGATTTTAATCGTGAAGGCCAGAACGTGCCGTGTTATTTTATTTAAAAAAATTGGATTCTTCGCCTTTCTAAAACACTCTACTTATATGACATCTTTGTGCTTCCTAACCCCAATTTTTGCGATTCCATTTTTATCCACTATCGCTTCTCATCATCTCTATTCTCTGACAAAATTTTACATCCAGACTCCGGATGTCTGGACAACGACCAGGATGCTGCGAGGAGGGTGGAGGTCCGATTCTTCCCCTCCTCCGCTTCATCCGGGCCGTTGTGCGGACATCCGGAGTCCGGATGTAAATTTTTTTCCTATTCTCTTCATTTCCATTACTCTCACCAAACCAACTTAACTTGGTTGCCAGTTATCCTCCCTCAATGAGTGCCCCCTCTTAGCAGAAAATATTACATATATTTTTTAAGTACGTGCGGAAAAGAGTGAATGGAATGACCATGTCATCATAATTCAACTTATATATGACGTAGCTTTCTCATCCACCCTCATTTGCATACACTTGGCATGTAATAGATCCGAAGGGGCCACAAGAGAAAATATTACGTCCAGTCCTGACATATAGAATCCAATTAAAATTTGACGTGTCCTTATCTTAAAAGCAGAGAAGCTTGAAGCCCATCCGATCATGGAGTACAAAATGATTGCATTCAGTACAACCATGTTTTATACTCTATGATTTTCACATCGAATTATTTATTTGAATGTTTTTTTACATAGTACAACATGATTGTACTGAAAAAAATTCTCCAATACAATCATATTATACTTCATGATCAAGTTTACGTTCGAACTCCTAACGTAATATTTCTTCTGCTCGCGAGCCACAACAACTAAAGACCTTGGCAGTGAGCAAGACGCGCTGGGGAGAGTTTCATTTCTCCTCGTAAGCATCGGTCTGATAGAATTTTCTATATATGGTTGTTGGTATTGCCGAATTCGAGTCTAATGATCCATCAATGACACGATTTGGTGTATGGTAGTACAAGTCAGGAGCACAAATCTATCTTGAAAAAATATATATATATTTTGAAAACATTTATCAAAACAAAAAATGTAATTTCAAAAAAAATAAAAACCATATTTTATAACTTTTGTTTTACTTAGAAGCAAAAAATAGCGACAAAAAAATAATGCTAAACAAGGACTAAATTTATTAGCTTACGTTTACTTACTAGGAAGGTTTGAGTAAAACAAAAATGGCAATTCAAATAACAAAGGATGAGTTACATAAAAACATCATAAAGCAAATGTGTTATTCTTTTATTATAACTGCATGGATTCAAGAGTGATTAGGATCAACATTATATGCACACATGTGGAGGAATGATCTTCCCTGGATTCATGATGCTGTTTGGATCCAAAGCAGTTTTTATTCTTTTCATGGTCTGCAATGCCGCCATGCCAAGCTCTTCCTCGAGATACTGAAATAAGAGAAAAGAGACAATGAAAATTAAAAAAACATAAGAGCCAAAAAAAAAAAAAAAAGCAAAAGAAAGAAGAGGGGAGAAAAAGATGAGAAGCATTAACATACATATCACACAATTCTTATGCATATACATATCTAATACCTAAAGTTTGATATTTACATTTTAAAACTCAATATTAACATTTTAAATCATAAAAAAAATATCAAAAATACAAACTTCTGAAAATGAAACACACTTTTTTTTCATGCATGGATAGTGGTATATAGGTGTAAAAATTTACATTTTAAAACTCAATATTAACATTTTAAATCATAACAAAAATATAAAAAATACAAACTTCTGAGAAATGAAACACACTTTTTTTTCATGCATGGATAGAGTGGTATATAGGTGTAAAAATTTTAATTTGGATATTAGAGGTAAATAGATAGGAATCATGTGGCATGTATTGTAAATCTTCCTTCAAACAAAAGCACAAAAAAAAAAAACGAAACACATCGAAATCTACATATTTGCAAAGATTTAAGAGAAAAAATGCAGCTGAATTTACGAATGATGCGAAGGATATTTAAAGAACATCAAATTCATGTCATATGAAAGTCGTGGTTAAAACAAACAACAATGAAATTGATAGAATACAGACAGCATTTCATTCAACAGTTGGCCGGCTACTAAAAGGGGTCAATTCCCGATGAAAGTCGTGGTTAAAACAAACAACAATGAAATTCATAGAATACAGACGAGCATTTCATTCAACATTTGGCCGGCTACTACTGAAGTTCATCTCTTTGCCTGACTCGTGATGCCATAATCGCCAGTTAGTAAGATCTTTAATCAATGAAGGCATAAGCACAGGAGTGCGACTGAGCTAAACCAACAGCTTTTGGATGTGCATTTATCATTCAGACATCCTGCCCAATATCTATTATAACTTCATGGCCATGCATGATAACCCAAAACGTCACACAAAGCCACCACTTTCAGGCATCATCGCGTCATCCATTTGTTGTTGGAATAAAAAATAAATGATAGGGAAGTTCAATGAAGTTATCATTAAGGCTAAAGATTAATCCCTAGAAGCATTTCGAAAATTCATTCAAGTCTATTTCACCAGTATCCAATATTTCACCAAAAAGAATTGATAGCTTAGAAAACTCACTTTCATTTTGCCGGTGCCAACACCATGCTCTCCCGTACATGTTCCTGATCAACAATATATAAAATGCATCAATTTTACGACGATTTCACATCTTCCTAGGTTTCTCTAGTTGGTTTGATAATAAGAGAGTATCCATATCAACATTGGTTTTATCTTGAATGTGTTTGTGGTTTCAATGCGTTTGATATTTCTCGTCTCTCAAAAAAATGTTAGCTTGTACCTTCCATTGACAAAGCTGTGTGAACCATGAAGTGGTTTAGCCTCTCTGCTTCTCGTTTCTGTTCCTCTTGCTCTGGATCAAATAAGATAAGTGTATGGAAATTCCCATCACCAGCATGTGCAATAACCGTGCTGCAGAAAGCATAATTTGCATGCTAATAATGAATTTCTATAGTGAAAAGCACAGCATAGTTCTGTGCAACAAGCAGAAGCATCTTTCAAGCTTCTTAGAAAGAAAAATTTAACTATTGGATCCATAAATTTTTGGCAACCAAAATTTCTCTTAATAAACATACCACAGTAATGATGATGCATCCAGAATTTGTTTAGATTTTGATATGCAATCCGCAAGCTTTGATAAAGGAACACAAACATCCTGCAAGAAGGGAAAAGATGAGAAGCAAGCTGTATCAAGGGAAAGTTTACAAAATATCTTTATATAGTGATAGTATTCTGGATCCTTAACGGGAAAATAGATTAGAATAGAAATTATTGCTCAAAAAATCACCTTTATTCATTAATGACGGGCTTACATAGAGCCTTATTAGTTACAATCAATATAAGTAAATCCGTAGACTCCATCTATTTACGCATAGAACCCTACATCAAATAAAAATCTCAACACTCCCCCTCAAGATGGACAAAAGATGTTCACTAAGCCCATCTTGTCACGTAACCTGACAATTCTATTGAGCTAAGTCCTTTAGTGAGGTAGTTAGTCACTTGCTCTCCTGTGGCTACATGACTTAGCTCCAGTAGTCCATCATTCAGCTTTTCCTTGATGAAGAACCTATCAATCTCCACATGTTTGGTTCTATCATATTGCACCAGGTTGTTAGCAATGTTGATCACTGACTTGTTGTCACACCACAACTTCATTTAAGCTCCTTGGTCCACCTTGCGCTCTTACCAACAAAGATCATAACCACATTGTCTCGGCAACTCCTAAGGTCATATCCCTATACTCTGCCTCTTCTGTTGACCTCGCTACTACCGATTATTTCTTGCTCTTCCAAGAAACCAATTGTCCCCTACGAACATGCAATATCCAGACGTGGACCTCATGTTATCAGCACAACTCGCTCAGACAGAGACAAAATAGCCCTCAATGCTTAAATGTCCATTCTTCTTGAAAATCAACCCCTTCCCTGGTGCACTTTTTAGGTACCTCAAAATCTGATACACTGCGTTCATATGACATTTTCATATCATGCATATAACGGCTCACCACGTTTACTGCAAATGAGATATCGGGACGTGTGTGACTCCTTGGATTATGCATATAACTCACCACCTTTATTGCAAATGAGTTAAGCCTTTTGATCATTGTGTAAGTGCTAGGGTCCCCTGGAAGCGACGCACTGTATGGTCTGAATATAGTGACAAGTGTGCAAGGGCCGCAACAACTGTGCTCAGGTGTAGTATCAAATAAACAAGAGTTCTCACATTAAGAACGGATGCGAGAAAAAATGTTAGTTCATGAAACTAATATTGGGATAGGATATTGGAATATAGGTACTCTCACTAGTAAATTAAGAGATTTAGTTGATATTATGATTATCTTATGTGTTCAAGAAAATAAATGGGTTGGAGAAAATGCTAAGCAGATTGATAACTTAGGTTTTAAACTTTGGTATACAGGTAAAAGTCAATAAAAGTCATACTAGAAATGACGTAGATAATTATAGATAAGAGTTTGAAAAGTAATGTTGTAAGAATTAATAGAATTGGAGATAGAATTTTAGCCCTTAAGATTATTGTTGATACCAAGAAATTTTTAATATTATAAGTGCTTATGCTCCCCAAGTTGGTTTAGATATAGGTTCTAAAGATAATTTGTGGAATCACTTTGAAAACTTAATACAAATGATACCTCTTGAAGAAAGAATTTGCATTGGAAGAATATGCATTGGAAGAAAGAATTTACTTTTAAGAATGGATCTAATAAAACACAAATTGATTATTTTCGTATGAGAAGAAGAGATGCCGAGAATGTAAAGATTGTATGGTCAATCCAAGTGAGGATTGAAGTACCCAACATCAATTATTAGTTCTAGACAATTAGTAGTACTAGATTTTAAGATGAAGAGTTGTAAAATAAAGAATACTAGTAATTATCATCGTAAAATTAGATGGGGGTACCTAAAAGACACAAATAAAATAATTTTTATAATTAAATTCAAGATTTCAAAATTTGGGAAGTTCATGAAGAAGCAAATTCTATGTGGGAAAATATAACAAAAACTATTAAACAAATGACAACAATTGTATTTGGAGAAACAAAATAAAAAGTTTCTCTAAATAAAAATAATTAGTGGTGGATTAATAATATGCAAGAAAAGATAAAATATAATAAGTTATATTAAAAAATTGATTTAAATGTAAAAGCTTAGAGAACTGAGAAAAATATCAAACGGTTTGTAGGGAGTTTAAGAGAACAATCTGTGACTCTGAAAAATTCTGCTTTTAATGATCTTCAATAATAGATTAGATACTAAAAATGATGAAAAATATATGTATAAACTAACCAAACAAAGAGAAAAGAAAAGTAAAGATTTAACTCAAGTAAAGTGTATTAAAGATGAAGATCAAAAAGTATTTTTCTTAGAAAAAATATTCAAAATAGATGGATGAGTTATTTTGATAAACTTTTTAATGAAGTTTCGAAAAATACAATCGACCTTAGTGATCTTAATATTGTTAATAATAATAAAATATTTCATTTTTACGATCGCATTAGTAAATAAAAAAGTTGAGATGGCTTTAAAGAAAACCAAGGGCGTAAAGTCTGTAGGGCATGATGATATCCCAGTTGAAGTGTTGAAATATTTAGAAGATTTTGGGTTTTCTTGGCTTACTAAACTCTTTAATATTATTTTAAAAACTAAAAATATGCCTGAGGAGTGGAGGAAGAGTACTTTAGTCCCCATTTTTAAGCATAAAGGAGATGCACAAGAGTGTGCAAACTTTAGATGAACTAAGTTGATGTTTCATACTTTAAAATTATGGGAGGAGGTAATTGAACATAGGTTAAGACGGATTTCTTATAATCAGTTTGGATTTATGTCGGACAGGTCTACTATGGAAGCTATACATTTATTGAGAGTTCTGATGGAGAAGTTCATAGATAATAAGGAGGATCTACATATGATTTTTATTTATTTAGAAAAAAGCTTACGATAAGGTTCCAAGAGATATCCTTTAGAGAGTTCTTGAGAAGAAAGACATTGATATGACTTATATTCAAGTCATTAAGGATTTGTATACAAGAACTATTACTAGTGTTTGAACAGGAGGATTGACCAATTATTTTCCTAATTCTGTTGGTTTACATCAGGGATCGTCTTTAAGCCCATATCTTTTTGCTTTAGTAATGGATGGTCTTACTGGGCACTTACAGGAGGATGTACCTTGGTGCATGCTTTTTACTGATGATATCGTTCTCGTGGATAAAATGAGAGATAAAGCTAATGAAAACTTGAATTATAGAGGTCTACCTTGGAGTCTAAAGGCTTTCATTTGAGTAGAACTAAAATTGAATACATGGAATGTAATTTTAGTAGTAGTAGCACTAGTGACAGAAATGTAACTATGGGCGATCAAATTATTAAAAGGTGTCAACGCTTTAGATATCTCAAAGTAATGGTGATATTCATGGGGATGTTATTAGTAGAATTCAAGTTGGTTGGTTGAAGTAGAGGAATGCTTCAGGTCTATTGTATGATAGAAAAGTATCGTTTAGACTGAAAGGAAAATTTTATAAGATGGTCGTGAGACCTGGTGAGACCTGCAATGCTCTATGCAATGCTCTATGGCGCTAAATGCTGGCCTTTAAAAGAGAAGCATAAAACTAAGTTAAGTGTTGTCGAGATGAGAATGAATAGGTGGATGAGGGCTTTACAGTTAGAGACAAACTACGAAATGAATATATCTGTGACAGGGTTGGTGTAGCTCCAGTGACAGACAAAATTAGAGAAATTTGTCTTAGTGGTTTGGTCACATTAAACGTTGACCAGCTGCTGATTTGCTTAGAAGATTAGATGTTTTAAATTTGATTTATCTTAAGAAATGTAGAGGTAAACCTAGGAAGGCTTGGGCATATTGTATAAAAAATGATCTTAATTTATTAGAATTAAATGAAAATATCACACTAAATAAAATGCAATGGAGAAAAAGGATTCATGTACCCGACCCCACTTAATGGGATAAAGGTTTTTTTGTTATTGTGTGACTGATAGATCAGACGACCCACCAATCTCTCACTCTATCACGATCAACTGGCTCTCCTACTTCTGCACTCAGTTTGACCTTCTGATCAATTGAAGAGACTGCAGGCTTAGATCTCAGCATGTCTGTTTCTGTGAGAAGATCTTATAAATATTTTCTCTGAGACAAGACCATGCCCTCTGGTCCACGGGCCACCTCAATCCCTAGTATCTAAGCTATCCAGGTTCTTAACCTCAAATTCTTTGCCCAATCTTATCTTTAGTTGAACAATCTCCACCTCATCATCACCAATGATAATAATGTCATCAACACACAGCAAGCATAGAGATGTGAAAACTATTTTGACGAAAGAACACCGTATGACCAACATTGATATGCTAATATCTCATGCCCACTATAGCTGTCCTAAACTTGTTAAACCAGACTTGAAGAGTGCTTCAAGTCATAAAGCGACTTCCTGAGCCTGCACACCTTGCCCACTGTCTGATCTATACTAAATCCTAGCGGTATGTCCGTATATATCTCTTCTAGTAACTCACTATGAAGAAACATATTCTTCACATTGAGTTGGTGTAACCTTCACCCATCATTCACAGTTAGAGAAACCAGTGTCCTCCCTCTGCTCATCTTTACTACCGGTGCGAAAGTTTCATCATAGTCAATGTCATACTCCTGACTGTACCATTTTTCCACTAATCATGTCTTGTAACACTCTACTTTCCTCTTTGAATTTTGTTTTGCTATGAAGACCCACTTGCACTCACCTTCTCTTTTCCCCGCTTGTTATGGTACTATCTCCCAAGTCATATTCTTATCGAGAGAACTAAGCTCCTCCAGCAAGCAATCTTTCACTTTAAAACCTCCTTAGCTGCCTGCAAACACTTGGGTATAGAGACAGTGTCCAAAGATGCAATAAATACTCTGTGTACACGCGATATGTTAGAGTATGAGACAAACTGAGCAATGTCCTTCTTAAAGCCTTGTGAGAAACCAAAACAATAAGGAAAATAAAGATTGGGAGAACGACTAACATTTCTGCAAGAAGTCCTCCTTAAAGCCTTGAGAGTGAGAGGAGAATATAGAGGAATCATATCACCTGGATAATCAGATTCTGAAGTGGATGGTGTAGGTGTCTCAGGAGTCTTGGTA